GTCAACTCCAGTGCAGAATCACAATGGTTGAGGTTGGCAGGGACCTCTAGAGATCATCCAGTCCAGCCCCCTGCTCCAGCAGGGACACCTAGAGCACGTGGCACAGGGTGGCATCCAGGCAGGTTTGGAAGATCTCCAGAGAAGGAGACTCCACAGCCTCTCTGGGCAGCCTGTTCCAGGGCTCTGTCACCCTCACCATCGAGAGCTTTTCCTCATCTTCAGGTGGAATGTCCTGCCCTTCAGTCTGTGGCTGTGGCCTCTCGTCCTGTCACTGGCGCCACCAAACCTGCCCCATCCTCTTGACACCTCCCTTATGGTGATGAGATCCCCTCCAGCTCTGCAGAAGGCAGGGTGGGGGGATCCCCTTCTCTTCTGCAGGCAGAACAGCCCCAGCTCCCTCAGCCTCTCCTCACAGGGGAGATGCTCTGGGCCCCTCATCATCTTCGTAGCCCTGCGTGGGACTCTCTGTAGTCGCTCCATGTCCCTCTCGTGCTGGGGAGTCCAGCACTGGTCACAGGACTCCGGATGTGGCCTCAGCAGGGCTGTGTAAGGGGCAGCTTCCAGTGGCTCCTGCTGCTTTGCTCCCTAACACTCAAATCTTTGGGCTGCCGCTGAAAGACCAGAACTTCACTTCCACCCTGGCAGGCATTTTGTGCCTGCATCTCCACAAAATATCATCATCACGAGACTGCTGCTCCTTCCAAGCACTGGTGAGCTCACTTTTTTTTTTCGTTTCCTAATGGGATTGACGAGTGCTGAGATAAAGTGAAGCTTCCTCGCAGGACCGGTGGCTCCGCAGACAACGGCACAGCCGGGCAGATCCTGCGTCCTCTCAGGTCCCCGTTCCAGGCTCTCCCACGCACATGGCAGCAAGGGAACAGCACGCAACTGCAGAGACTGCCATGGGGCTCAAACTGTGTAGAAATACTTTGATTTTCAGTGTTCCGTGCAGCACCTCCGCCCTCAGCTTTTGCTTTCCCTAAGAAGAGCCAGTTTAGGTGCAGCTGCAGCAATCAGAGAACTCTGCTAAGGCTATTACGAGCTCCTGAGGCAGCAAGGAACAATCCTGCTGCGCAGACCATATGCAAATGCTGCGCATACCTCTGTGTCCCATTTGGGACAACCAAATACCACCCATTTAGGCTCATCAACCAGACCCATGTGAGCCCTTCGTGCGGCCACGGGACTCGAACTCGCGATCCAGCCGACGCCTCCGCCCTCTCCGGGCCCCCTCCCGGAGGGTCCCCACCCTGGGCCGCTCTGCTCGGCCTCG